CTGCTAGTTCATGATATTGGAGGAACTGAAGGCAGCAGGTATTCATTTCACCAAAGGGAAAAAAAACAGGTCTGAGTGACAATATTTTCATTTCTCTTCACCATTTTGTCCTTTGGGATCAGACTCTAGGTATGCTGTCCTCCAAAAAACCAGGTCACCAGGGAAGGAAATTTCTCAGCTAGAAATTGTAATATTTCTCAGGCAAAAGTTTTCAGCCCAGGCAAATCTGAAGCAGTATGCCTGAGCAAGCAAGCAGCAGGTATCTGTGAGAAGTCTGGTTTACAAGAGCAGTGCACCGACTGCTGCGTATCCCATCATCAAGGGAGTTTAACCTGTTAGTGGTGCGATCAGTTGGGCTTTTATGTAGGCTGGCTTGTTACTGCTGTTCCCCGCTGAAAAACCTGAAGAGAGAGCACCCTTAGCGCTCTAGGAAACACTTGATCAGTCCGAAACAGAAACTGATTGACAGAGGTCAATAACATCAATGTATGAGGGTTCGTTAGGGTCGCAACAGCCTCATGTTCTCCTGTCTTGGAGTCACGGGAAGCAGAAAAGAAAGGAAATAGGATAAAAAGATTTCTTTTCCAATATGTGCTCCTAGGTAATGGTATGTTCCAGAAAACCAAAACTAGATAAGCACTGCCAAAAGGCTATCTGAATGGTGTTTTGAATTTTAAAATGTTGATAACCTTAAATAAAAAATTAATATTGCAACAGTGTCTGCATCCTTCCTGCAATTTCCTGGGAGCGCTTTAGTAGCAGCACTTCTAAGACCATGATCAAAATGCTGTCACATAAAAGCAACTTGAAACTATGTGATTAAAGCTTGGTCAATTTATTTTTGCCTAAAATAGAGACCCAAAGACTTTTTGCCCCAAAAGCCGTGCTCAGTATGAGAAGGAAAGCAGTTTGTGGGAACAAGGTTCTCAAAACCTCATGTCAGGGCTCTGATATCAAAATCGTTAAACAATGCGGACAAGGAGCAAGACTCCCCTTTTGGGAGAAAGACTGCAAGACCACACCGAGACACAGATCATGTGAATTCAAACTCTACCAAAAAGAGTAGCAGGCACAGTTTTCAGTTTTACTGGGTAGTACCTTACTACATGTTTGGTTCCCCTGAAATAAATGGCATTTCTTGCATAACAGGATAAAGCACATGGCGAACATGCAGTTGTCCTCCTGCTCAGTACTTCAGAGCAGCCTAATGCCTTTCTTCATGCCTTAAGAACTGCCCTGAAAGGAGAACTCTGCTTGTCTATACTTCTTCTCTGAAGAGCTTTTTTTTCCTCCAGATTCAAATCTCTAGTGCATCATCAAAAATAAAAACAGTTTCTACATAGCACATTAATTAAGATTCACAAACAAGGTCCTGTTGCCGTGGGCTGTTCACAAACGAATGAGATGATCTTTGCTGTGAAGGACTAGCAATTAAAACACAAATGAAAAAAAAGCACGCATCATATTTTCGTGGTGTACGATGAATGAGCAGATGACTATTCCTGCTAATAATACATTCTTCTTAGTGTGTGCATAAGCTGGTATTTCTGTTGTCAGTAGTAAGACAGACAGCTGAATTCGGTTTGGGAGCTTGTGCTATGGTTAGTATAACTGTTGGCCCAGTATGGAAATTTTTACCCAAAATTCAATCCCAAAGCCACGTCCAAGGCTGCAGGAGAAACAATATCCAATAATCTCCGACTACTGCAGGTCAAAGTCTAACTGTAAAGCATCTTAATCACTTACTGCAGATACATGTCTGGCTTATAAAACAAAAAGGCTACAGAGTAAATGAAAGATTGGGAAAAAAAAAACCCTTCTGGGGGTCGTCTAAGTGGAGTTTCCTTTGCTTGCAGAGTAGATTACTTGCTCCGGTGCCTTCATGAGACAGGAAGCCAAGGCTTTTAAAAATCCTTAATAGAGTATAAATGAAAGTAGAAGGTCTCCATGCGATCCGGCGGTGTGATGTTGGGATATTTGGCACTGTGCAGATTGCTGCAGCTGGCAGGTGCTCCACCGCTTACGGCCGCTTATTAGTTGAAGGAGCAGCAGGATGCCAAAGGTCTACAGTAGGTCGCCTGCATGCTCCCAAAGG